ACGTTTTGTTCTTCGTTTCCTTTGTACATTCTTTTGATACTATGTTTGTTATGAACTAAGAACATTTTCTTCTAGGGCAATGAAGCCTTGTATATTGATTTCGATCGTCATTTCTGTTATCTATTTGTCGTGTTTTGATTTCGTTTATGTTTTCCTGTATTAAATGCTTCTGATTGTGTTGATCAACTCTCGGATTGATATTAAATAGGAATGAACTCGAGAGAGGTTTTCTTGTTTGAAGTTAGGAAAACATAGCTCGGGGTGTGGAAACGGAGACGTGATGCACTTCGGGTAGCCCTTAAGGACTTGACCTAAATGCTCTCTTAATAGCAGGTTCTGAACGGAGACGTCGGACCTGTGGGTAGACTCTAACTAGACTGGAGACGGGGGTTAGAGTACATTAGCGTCTGGGTTAACGAATAGGAATGTGATTTTAGATAGCGGATTTGTAGATCGTTGTTGATTATACATAGGTGGATTTGGCCCTAGAAGTCCCCTTTAAATCGAAGTCCCCCCGCGTTGGTTGTCGTTACTTTATTTACGTACATTCTATATTTGCATGTTTACGATCTTGCATGCTTTTAAATTAGGGTTTCTCACCATTCCAAATATTTACGATCGGCTAGATAATATAACGATAATATAATTACACTACTCAGCATGTGAATCTACAAGGTCCCTATGGATCGATATCCGGAACCGCTGTTCTGCAAAATGCGATACTGTATACTTGCGGTAATTTATACGTGAGGAAAACGCGTATCAAGTTTTTGGCGCCGTTGCCGGGGAAGTCATGGTGTGGAATGAGGGTGCAAAATGAAACTTGAAATTGGTTCGGGCAATTCGTCGAACACTTGGCGTGCGCAAGTTCTTTGAAACTCCTTGAATGTTAGTTCCTTTCGAAAACTAACCCTCCTACATCAATCACCACAACAACAACAATTAATAACGATCAACGAGCAAAAATTAGCATAATATGACTCGACCCATTAAAAAATTCACAAGAAATTCAAAATTAAACATAATAGGGCAATTCCTATATCTAAACATTGGTTCAACCAATGAAACAAGCCTTTAAATCCCAAAATCAAGTACCTAATTACGTACAAGCAATAATAATTGAAGAACCAAGGGACAAGACAAGAAAATTGGATCAAAACTATAAAATTTGGGTCAAGAACATACCTTTGTTGAAGATTCGTCCATAATTCTCAATATAAACAAGCAATAATCGTTAATAGTTGATGAAAATCTAAGAACATGCAAGTTTGAAGAGGAGATTTGAAAGAAAATAGAAGTTCTAGGGTTTGGGGGAAATGGGGTGTTCGAATTTTGTAAAAGAAAGAAGTGAGAAAAATAAAGGGTTTTTTTTTTTTTTTTTTGAATAAGTACAGTTTTTTTTCTCCCCAGATCGCGATCTAGAAGTTCCGGATCACGATCTGGGTTCGCTACCTATTTGCTCTTTGTCAGACCCCCTAGATAGCGATCCGGATTTCTGGGTCGCGATCTGGATTTGACCCCAGTTTCTTCTCTGTCAGACCCCCCAGACCGCGATCCGGATTGCTGGATCGCGATCTGGATTTGACCCCAATTTTGTCTCTGTCGGACCCCCCAGATCGCGATCCGACTTGATGGATCGCGATCTGGATCCGCTCCAATTTACTCTCTGCCAGACCCCCCAGATCGCGATCCGACTTCCTGGATCGCGATCTGGGTCCTGTAATCTGTACAAAATTTGAAATTTTACCCGGGTGAGATAGAGATATTGAACCCAAAAAAATATAAAAATGCAAGAAAAGATTAAAAACAAAAACGAAAGCAAGAACAAAAGAAAAAATGACAGAGAATGAGCATTAATGGGGTGCCTCCCATTTAGCGCCTGTTTTACAGTCGACGGCTCGACTTCTTTTAAATTTATTGGGAGAAAATTAGTGACACGCTCCACTTCCTCGGGAGCACCATTTGGATGGTAATGCTTAACTCGTTGCCCATTAACTTTGAACGACGGACCGTCTCGTCCTCGTATTTCGATAACTCCTTGTGGGGTTGCGCTCAGGACTACGAATGGTCCTGACCAACGGGACTTGAGCTTTCCCGGAAATAGTTGTAGCCGAGAATTGAATAGCAGGACTTGGTGACCTGCCCGGAACTCTCGCTTTGTAATCCTTTTGTCATGCCACTTTTTCGTCTTTTCTTTGTAAATCTTGGCATTCTCGTAAGCATCATTTCTGAACTCCTCCATTTCGTTGAGTTGAAGCAATCGATGATCACCGGTGGCTGTTTGATCAAAATTGAGCTTTTTGACTGCCCAATATGCTCGGTGCTCCAATTCCACTGGCAGGTGGCACGCTTTCCCATACACGAGTTTGTAGGGAGACATCCCAATCGGTGTCTTGAATGCGGTTCGATAGGCCCAAAGTGTATCATCGAGCTTCAACGCCCAATCTTTTCGGTTCGTGCTCACGGTCTTCTCCAGAATCTGTTTGATTTCTCAGTTTGACAACTCAGCAAGGCCATTTGTTTGCGGATGATAAGCTAGCGCAATTTTGTGTCGGATCCCCAACTTGTTCGTGAGATTAGTGAGCAGTTTGTTGCAGAAGTGAGATCCTTCATCGCTAATGATCGCCCTAGGTGTCCCAAACCTTGAGAATATGTTCTTGTGGAAGAATTTGAGGACCGTACGAGCATCGTTGGCAGTGGTGGCAATTGCTTCGACCCATTTGGACACGTAGTCCACGGCAAGCAGAATGTATAATTTCCCGTTCGAATAAGGGAATGGTCCCATGAAGTCTATGCCCCAAACATCGAAAAGCTCCACCTCTTGCATGTTTTTCAAAGGCATTTGGCTCTTGTTGGATAGGTTCCCTGTTCGTTGGCATCGATCACACCGTTTCACGAACTCGTAACTATCACGGAATAGGGTTAGCCAAAAGAAGCCTGACTGCAGAACCTTGGCGGCTGTGCGAGATTCCCCGTGATGCCCGCCACAAGGTGAAGAGTGGCAATGTGTGAGAATCTCACGTACTTCTGTTTCCGGAACACATCTTCGTTTGACACGATCGGGGCCGGTTCTGAAAAGCAACGGCTCGTCCCATAGATAGAAACGACTGTCGTGAAGGAATTTTTTCTTTTGGTGATAAGATAGATCGCCAGGAATAATTCCACTGGCCAAGAAGTTGGCCACATTAGCATACCACGGAGTGTGAGTACTAATGGCGAGCAGTTGCTCGTCTGGGAAGGATTCCTGAATATTTCCTTAAGCTGGAACTTCTTCTAGTATGAGTCTGGAAAGATGATCTGGTACCACATTCTCGCTCCCTTTTTTGTCTCTGATTTCCAGGTCGAACTCCTGGACTAGGAGAACCCATCTAATGAGTCGGGGCTTGGCGTCTTTCTTTGCGAACAAGTATCGAATAGCTGCGTGGTCGGTGTAAATGATCACCTGAGACCCCAAAATATACGGTCTGAACTTGTCAACGGCATAAACGACAGCAAGCATTTCCTTTTCGGTCGTTGAATAGTTCTTTTGTGCCTGGTCAAGTGTACGACTCGAATAGTAGATGGCTTTGAAGATTTTGTCCCTCCTTTGTCCCAATACTGCACCTACAGCATAGTCGCTCGCATCGCACATGATCTCGAATGGTTCTTCCCAATTGGGAGTAATCATTATCGGTGATTGGGTTAGCTTCTCCTTGAGAAACGTGAAAGCCTGCAAACAAGCAAAGTCAAAATCAAAGACAACTTCCTTGTCAAGCAAATGACATAATGGTTTTACTATTTTCGAAAAATCTTTTATGAATCTACGGTAAAACCCAGCATGCCCTAAAAAACTTCTAACCCCCTTGACATCTTTCGGTGGAGGCAATTTTTCAATCGTTTCGATTTTTGCCCTGTCCACCTCAAGACCCTTTTTCGAGACCTTCTGACCTAGAACAATACCTTCACGAACCATAAAATGACATTTTTCCCAATTTAAAACAAGGTTCGTTTATGTACATCTTTTCAAAACAAGTTCTAGATTGTGCACACAATGATCGAAAGACGATCCAAACACAGAAAAATCATCCATAAACACCTCAAGACATTCTTCTACCATATTGTGAAATATAGACATCATACATCGTTGAAAGGTAGCAGGCGCATTACACAAACCGAAAGGCATCCTACGAAATGCAAAAGTACCGTAGGGGTAAGTAAAAGTAGTTTTCTCTTGGTCTTCCGGGGCGATTGAAATTTGATTGTACCCCGAATAACCATCAAGAAAACAGTAATACTCGAAATCTCCTAGCCTGTCTAGCATTTGATCGATAAAGGGAAGGGGGAAATGGTCTTTTCTAGAGGCTGCATTCAACAATCGGTAATCGAAACACACACGCCACCCAGTGACTGTTCTAGACGGAATAAGTTCATTTTTATCATTCACAATAACCGTCATCCCACCCCTTTTTGGCACAACCTGCATCGGACTGACCCACGGACTGTCAGAAATTGCATAAATCATACCAGCGCTTAACAGTTTTAAGACTTCTTTTTTGACTACCTCTTTCATTGACGTGTTTAACCGCCTCTCTGGTTGGACTCTCGGTTTATAGATGTCTTCCATTAGAATTTTGTGTTGAACAATAGACGGGCTAATTCCCTTAATATCCTCAATGAACCAACCTATAGCCGACCTATATTCTCTAAGGACCTCTAGCAGTGTGTTTGTTTCGGCCTCGCTCAAACTAGAAGAAATAATCACAGGATAAGTCTTGTCTGCTCCAAGAAAAGCATAACAAAGATAATCCGGTAATTGCTTCAATTCCAGTACGGGGGCCGTTTTCACACTAACTGGTATCTCGGGGACGATTCGTACCTCGTCTACGCCTAAAATCTCGGCACACTCAAGAAATAACACACAATCAAGCACATCATTTTCAATGGGAGTTTCAGGGGAGGCAGAATGCAAATCAATAGAATTAACAATGCAGTGCTCAACAAAATCACATAATTCATACAAATCAAAAAAAGGAGGAAACACAGTCCTCGATCACGTCTATTCTACTGCAATGCTCAACATGCTCAGAGCGTTTAAATGCATCTGTCAAATTAAAAACAACTTCTTCCTCATTTACCCTAAGCATTAAAGATCCTAATTCCATATCAATCATCGCCTTACCAGTGGCTAAGAATGGACGACCTAAAATGATTGGTGCTTCGTCATCTTCAGGCATTTCAAGTACCACAAAATCAACAGGCAAAATGAATTTATCTACTTTAACTAGCACATCTTCTACAATCCCATCGGGATATTTCAATGAATGATCAGCTAGTTGTAAAGTCATGCGAGTGCGGTTCAAATTTCCTAAGCCCAGTTTTAGAAACACAGACATAGGCATCAAATTAATACTTGCCCCTAAATCACATAAAGCTTTATCGAAAGTAGAATTTCCAATAATACAAGGAATAGTGCAACTCCCTGGATCTTTCATTTTTGGTGGTAGATTCGACTGAAGAATGGCACTGCAAGTTGCCGTGAGTGTCACTGGTATGTCTTCTTCGATCCGAATCTTCTTGGATAGGACTTCCTTCATGAACTTGGTGTAGTTTGGCATTACCTCCAAGGCCTCTGCAAAAGGGATGTTGATTCGAATCTGTTTGATCTTTTCAATGAACTTCTTCAATTGATCCTTGAACTTCTTCTTCTTCTGTCTTTCTGGAAAAGGAATAGGAGTTATCATAAGAGGAGGATTATCAGGGAACGAAATGTTATTGGGCTTACTAGCCTCTTTTGTACTACTCCCTGAGATGGTGATTTTTGGCTCGACCGGGGTCAGTTGTACAGCTGGCCTTGGTGACTCGTCAGTCGGATAAGGAGGATCAGTCATTTGCAAACCACTTCGGGTGGTTATGTCTTGACAACTTTCTTGTGGATTGACTTCGGTATTGCTCGGAAATCCACCCTTCGCCATCGTGGACATGGATTGGGCGATTTTCCCTATTTGCTTCTCCATGTTCTTCATTGTTGATTTCAGGCCCTCCATTTCCTGTTCTTGTCGGTGAAGACGCTCGTCATACGTTCGCCCTCGTTGCTCTCTTTGATGGTTGAAATCTGAAGGTGGTTGTAGAGCATTCTTTGGATTGGCGTAGGAGAAGTTCTCGTGATTCCGAATTCCCGGGTGGTAATGAGTAGGGTTTTGGTTCTAATTGTTGGTTCCCCGGAAATTGTTGAATCGGTGGTTCATAAAGTGTGCCTGCTCCCAATCGTCGTTTGTGGCTTGTGAGGTACTTGCTGCTGCTACTCGTTCGGTCTGTGGCCCTCGAACTGATAATTGGGCAACCGAATTTGATAGAGTAGCTACTTGTGCTGAAACTGCGGCTAAAGGATCGAGTTGGTGGACTCCGGCCACCTTTTGTACACCACTCCGTTCGGACGGCCAATGGTAAGCATTCTCACACATTCGCTCAACAATGTCTCGAGCGTCTGTGGGAGTCTTGTTTTGCAATGATCCACCTGAGGCAGCATCGACTAGAGATCGGGCTGGTTAATCGAGCCCATTGTACAATAACTCCATTTGATCCCACGGGTTGAATCCGTATTGAGGGCATTGCAGTAATAAGTCCTTGAATCTCTCCCAAGACTCGTGCATCGGCTCTTGGCTCATCTGTCTGAAATTGCCTACATCTCTTCGTAGTTGTGCGGTCTTCGAGGGTGGAAAGAATCGTGCCAGAAAGGCTTGTGATAATTCTTCCCAACAGGTGAGTGATCCTGGATTAAGACTCAGAAGCCAACTCTTCGCTTTGTCTCCAACATAAAATGAGAATAGCTTCAACCGAATGGCATCATCAGAAATGCCGTTAACTTTGATCGTGTCACAAATCTCCAAGAAATTGGCAAGATGGAGATTCGGATCCGCTGTGGCTGCTCTGGAGAATTGGTTCGCCATGACCATGTTGATTAGCCCCGTGTTCAGCTCGAAGTTGTTTGCGGCTATCGTTGGTTTCCTGATTCCCGAATAGTTCTCATTCACAGCTGGAGTTCAGTATTCTCGCATTGTTCGTTCGAGTGGCAGGTTCGGTCTTAGCTGCTCGTGATCTCGTCCTGGCTCTCGATCGTATTCAAAGGCCAGGTGCTCTGGATTTCCTTGATCTTCGGCCATTGGTTCACTTTGTTGGTTGCGCGTGGCTCTTCGTTTTCGGAATGTCCTTTCAATCTCGGGATCGTAAGGTATGATTTCCAAATTTCTACGCCAGGGCATAAACAAAGTGATCGGTTAAAATCAAGGTAGAAATCAAAAATAAAACAGGTAAATAGCTAAAGTAATAGTCAGATAATTGGTAACACTATCAACAAAGATATAATCAAATTGGTCCCCGGCAACGGCGCCAAAAACTTGATACGCGTTTTCCTCACGTATAAATTACCGCAAGTATACAGTATCGCATTTTGCAGAACAGTGGTTCCGGATATCGATCCACAGGGACCTTGTAGATTCACATGCTGAGTAGTGTAATTATATTATCGTTATATTATCTAGCCGATAGTAAATATTTGGAATGGTGAGAAACCCTAATTTAAAAGCATGCAAGATCGTAAACATGCAAATATAGAATGTACGTAAATAAAGTAACGACAACTCAACGCGGGGGGACTTCGATTTAAAGGGGACTTCTAGGGCCAAATCCACCTATGTATAATCAACAACGATCTACAAATCCGCTATCTAAAATCACATTCCTATTCGTTAACCCAGACGCTAATGTACTCTAACCCCCGTCTCCAGTGTAGTTAGAGTCTACCCACAGGTCCGACGTCTCCGTTCAGAACCTGCTATTAAGAGAACATTTAGGTCAAGTCCTTAAGGGCTACCCGAATTGCATCACGTCTCCGTTTCCACACCCCGAGCTATGTTTTCCTAACTTCAAACAAGAAAACCTCTCTCGAGTTCATTCCTATTTAATATCAATCCGAGAGTTGATCAACACAATCAGAAGAATTTAATACAGGAAAACATAAACGAAATCAAAACACGACAAATAGATAACATAAATGACGATCGAAATCAATATATACAAGGCTTCATTGCCCTAGAAGAAAATGTTCTTAGTTCATAACAAACGTAGTATCAAAAGAATGTACAAAGGAAATGAAGAACAAAACGTAAAGAAATTGCGTAAGAAAAACCCAAATCGGAACCCCCGTTGATGATTCCCGCGAAGAACTGTCGAAAACCGTAAAAAGTCGAAGAAGGAAAGAAGAATGAAAGGGCCTTTCTATTTATAATGAAATGCAAAGCTTCCTCAAGAAGCTTTGAAAAATAAAATATCTTCTTCAAAAGGCGTGCCCAGATTGCGATCCCGGAATGTGGATCGCGATCTGGATCTTGACCCATTTCAGCTCTGTCGGACCACCCAGATCGCGATCCGACTTCATGGATCGCGATATGGATTTGACTTCTATTTCTTCTCTGTCAGCACCCCCAGATCGCGATCCAGGAATGTTGGATCGCGATCTGGGTCTTGATCTTTTTCAGCACTGTGACAACCCCCAGATCGCGATCCAGAGAGTTAGATCGCGATCTGGTTCTTCTTGGTCCCAAAATTGGCTTGAAAATTCGGTTTTCGCTTTCAAATGGCTTCGACTCGGCAAAAATACCTAAAAAAAACCCTGAAATAGAAATAAAACAAGAAACGCCATAATATATACAAATAAAGCCGAAACTCGGACAAAGGAAGACCAAAACTCGAAGATTTGATAAGCAAAAATCGTGCAAAACGAACACTTATCACACCCTCAAATTAGATCTTTACTCGTCCCGAGTAAATCAAAACGAAACAACAAAAAGGAAATAAAAACAACAAACTAAACTAGGCCACTAACGTAGGGAATCACGATTGCATTTAGCGTATGCAACAAGCCTTTGAACCCCTGGGTACCCCCAAAGGACGAGTTGTGTCTCGTGAGGGTTTTCAGACAACACACCCACAAAGTTGCCGGATTGGTCAAAGCATTGCAATTAATTCCAAAGATAAAACGAGCTAGATAACCTAAAATCTCAGAATGGCCCACGGCTTTAAGGTATTCGACTTTCCTACCGACGCAATTAGTTGTTTCTACACCAAAATGAAAGATAGACTCAAGAATCCGTAATTAAACAATAAACACAATCATCGAGGGTTTTGAGTAGAAATGTGGGTGAAAAGTAAGTTTTGATTCTGAAATTCAAAAACTCGAGTTGGGCATAAGTAGGTCTATTTATTCAATAAGAAATGACAACATCAATATATTGTGATTTTCATCACAACTTTCTTTTTTTTTTTTTTTATTTTTTTTTTTTTTTTACGACAATATAACACAAAAAACGTAAAGACCATAGATAGACTTTTTAGCCAACAACTGGAAGTCATGAACACATAATTCAATTCTAACTCGCCCCCCCACACCTCAGCTATTATACCCCTCAGAAAAGTGCGCTCAAGCTTAATCGGAAAGGATTCGAAAGGCTATCCACACAAGTTGCAAAAACGCAGTCGGAAGGTTCATCTATAATTAGCCGGTATCCATAATTTCAATTTTAAAATCAACTAGCCCATCTACTAATTCATTAATTGCTTTGCTTCAATAGAACCCGGAAATGCAAATTACACTCGATCCTAAATGAAATGCATGTAACAAACATAACACAATTACGGAAATCAAAATACATAAACGAAACTAAATTATATGATATGCATGCAAATAAGATACATAAAATAAAATAAAAACAAAGTCTAGCAAAGATACATCGTAAACAAAATATCAATCCAACGACTTATCCCATAACAAACGAACTAAAAACAAAAACAAAATGAAAGAGGTTCAACAAACAGTAAGATCGACTTCCTAGTAACGCGCGCGCACACACACACACACAAAAAAGGCAAAAACAAATATGTAATGATGCCTATTGGCCCAGCCCAATAGACCCATATTTGCTGGGCCACATGCCCAGTTTAATAGTTATTTCTACGGAGACCCAATCACATCCAAATAAGGTTGGGCCCGATAAATTGATCTCGGCCCAATCAATAAAGTATAAATATAACTTAAGTTCAATTAATTAAGGTACGCTTTTATTATCCAATCACTTCTTCTACTCAAATTCTCTTGTGTATTATCGATTATCTGCACGTCTGACTTGAGCGTCGAAGGGGTTTCCGCTGTATCAACCCCCGGCTTAGATTACGTGTTTTCTGTTCGCAGGATTATTGAGTTAATTAAAGTGTTTTAGGACCATCTAGCTCGTGAGCACGTGACCTACTTTGCTCTCCCAGCTTTAATACCCCAAGTGATTTATTTTTAACATCATCATTTTGGCGCCGTCTGTGGGAATGCAAACCATATCACGTAGCCAGCAAGATCCTCTTGAGCCATCAACTCGGAGAGAGAATGACACAGTTAACAACCTCCCAATTCGAGGAGGCTCTGGCTTGCCACCTCCTCCACGTGCTGCGGATCCGCCTCGCGAGGTTCTGGTGATTCCCCCTCGGGACCCACCACTCGCCGATCCTCCATTACAGGCTCCACATATGCCTGTTTCTCGAACGGTTCAAATAATCGAGGAAGCACTTCAACAAATGATAACAGAAGCTTCTACTCGCGCCGCCACTGATGCGGTGGCACAATACATCGCCACGATGGGAGCAAATGCTCCCCCGCTATCCCAGCTAATGCTCCACCCGCAGTGCCACCCAGGGTACAACAACCGGCCCAGAACAACGACAATCGGATAAGTGTGTGCTCATCAACCTCGGATCCACGGATGCAGCTATCTACCAATCACAGGGAGCCACAGCCCAGACAACAACGCCACCATTCACCCCAACGGGGTGATGCATCTCCACGAAGAGCTCATTTCCTTAATGAAGGAGAAGACGCAATAAATAGTAGAGTATCTCGCCAAAACTATTTACCCCAAGTGAACAACCCAAATGACGGAAGAGCGCCAGTCCCACCAAGGCGCAGTCCTTTCACCATGAAGATCATCAATGAGTAGGTTCAAAT